TATAATAATTGAGAACATTTTTTAGAAGATTAAGTTTGAGTAAGCAGATAGTATGAACTGGCAGAGCAAGACTGGTGGGGGTGGAGGGGGGCGCATCCTGCACTCCTCCTACTTTACCTATCAGCAATGTAACTTCCTTTACAGTCAGGAGGACTTGGGGATGTGAGAGAACCAAAACCAACCAAAGATAATAAAGCAGTATTAGTACTATCTGAGGGAGAGAGCAAGAATAAGTTGAGAATGAATGGTGGAGTATTGGGATGGGCCGGGAATGGTTTCTAGATTAATTAGTTCAAGATTTGGAAAGGATGGGCACTGTGTTAAGAGAAAAATCACCAGGAAAGGCAGTGATAGCTGACAATATAGACTTTTTATATGGACAAGATGTTGGCTGAAAATGGTGGGGAGGAAAAGAGAGACCAGCACATTATGTGCAAATAAGGGATAGATTATAGAAAGAAGGAATGTATTAGGAGAAATATTGAGTGAAGGAGCATTTTTAACATTGAGGGGGAATATAAGATAAGTAGAAGAAGGAAGGACATTGCTCACATAAGCAGCAGTTTTCAGAAAGGTTTGAGATGAGAGATAGGTTAAAGGACCACTATAGGCACTCAGACCACTTCAGCTCAATGAAGTGGTCTGGGTGCCAGGTCCCTCTAGGGTTAACCCTGCCTGCTGTGAACATAGCAGTTTCAGAGAAACTGCTATGTTTATTTTAGGGTTAATCCAGCCTCTAGTGGCTGTCTCATTGACAGCCGCTAGAGGCGCTTCCGCGCTTCTCATTGTGATTTTCACAGTGAGAAGACGCCAGCGTCCATATGAAAGCATTAAGAATGCTTTCCTATGGACTGGCTGAATGCACGTGGCTCTTGCTGCGCATGCACATTCAGCTGATGACGTCGGAAGGAGGAGGAGAGTCCCCAGCGCAGAGGGAGCCTGGCGCTGGAGAAAAGTAAGTGTTTAACCCCTTCCTCCCCCTTCAACCTGGGGGAAGGGGGACCCAGAGGGTGGGGGCACCCTCAGGGAACTATAGTGCCAGGAAAATGAGTTTGTTTTCCTGGCACTATAGTGGTCCTTTAAGAGTAAGTGTAGAGGGATGAGGGGCAGTTGTATAGCACTTTAGCATGAAATATATAAGAGCAAATTGAACAAAAATATCATAGCTAGAGTTGAGCGAACCTGAACTGTAAAGTTCGGGTTCGTACCGAACATTAAGTTTTTTGGACCCAGGACCCGAACACGAACATATAACTGTATGTTCGGGTTGGAGTTCAGTGTTCGGAAATTTCATGGCGCGTTTTCAAAGGCTGCAGGGCAGCCAATCAACAAGCGTTTGACTTGTGTGCCCTTAGAAGCCATTACAGCCATGCCTACTAATGGCATGGCTGTGATTGGCCAGTGCAGCATGTGACCCAGCCTCTATATATAAGCTGGAGTTGCGTAGTGCCACACGCACATGAGCTCTGTGAGTGACAGCTTAAGAAAGAATTCTACAAACTAGTACATTAATGGGGTGCACTTCATATCTGAGAGTCAAATAGAAGCTTCAAATACCGTGGTAACATCTGAGTTTTAAAAAGTAAATTTGTTTTGGTGCTAAATAGTATATTAGTGGGATAGTACTTTAGTGCGGTGCACTTCATATCTGAGAGTCAAATAGAAGCGTCAAATACTGCTGTCACATTGCAGTTTTAAAAATTTTTTTCTGGTGCTAAACTGCTATCCTCTTGTCACTATGTGAGTACTACCAACAATCAAACTATCTGACCCCCAATCAATCGGGCTTTCGCCAGAATCACTCCACTACAACTGCCCTTTTAAAAGTTTGCAACGACATCCAAACTGGCATGGAACAAGGAGACCTAACTGGAGCTATTTTCCTTGATTTTGCTAAGGCCTTTGACACAGCAGACCACGACATTCTACTGCACAAACTCAAAAACGTGATCATTCGCTAACCTGGTTTCAATCGTATGTATTGGATCGCTCGCAATATGTGTCCATTTCTGACAGCGACTCCCTCCCTCTCCCAGTCATGTGTGGTGTTCCCCAGGGTTCCATTCTCGGCCCCCTACTATTTACATTATTTATAAATGATCTGCCTAATGTCTGCAAATCCTCAAATGTACACATGTACGCAGATGACACAGTAATCTATGCGAGCAAATCCGATCTACTGCAGGTTGAGGTTGTGCTCCAAGACCAGTTTACAGAGGTAGAAAAGTGGATCGCAAAAAACAAACTCTTCCTGAACACTGACAAAACTGTCACAATGATCTCTGGAACAGTACCTAAATTACACAAATTACACAATTTCCACCTATCCATCAAAACAAATTCAAGTGGCACACTGACCGCAGTCCACTCTTTCAAATACTTGGGTATGATGTTAGACCCCAATCTATCTTTTGGCCTGCACATAGAAAAGCTTGCATCTAAACTTTATCCAAAACTAGGTGCCCTGTACAGAAACAAATCCTGCCTGAGCCCTACAGTAAAGGAAAAGACTGTACAGCAAATGCTGATGGAAATCATTGATTATGGGGATGTAGTATATGCATCTGCATCGCAATCCCACATTAATAAACTCAACACATTGTATAACTCGTACTGCCGATTTGTGCTACAATGTAATTACAGGACTCACCATTGTGACATGCTAAAAGAAGTAAACTGGCTGTCGCTGGAATCCAGACGCACCCTTCATCTTTCCAGCCTTGTGTTTAAGAGCTTTTCTGGGAAACTCCCACCCTACCTGAACAAAATGCTTTCCCCAACTGTTCCCACTTCCTATAACCTCCGATCCAGTACCAACACTTTACTTAGTCTACCTTAATACAAAAAGAAAGCAGCCCGGTTCTCCTTCTCCTACAGAGCGCCGCAATTGTGGAACGACCTCCCGCACAATTTAAAATCATCCCGAAGCCTAAAGTCCTTTAAGAGATCCGTCTCTACATACCTCAAATCAGAATGCACCTGTCATGGTTGATTATTTATTTCCTACCTGTTCTATGTTACAGTTTGTATTTATTGTGTATTAATATTGTTTTTGTATTTTATTGTACCCTAATGTAACAATGCAATGATTTGTGGACCCAGGACATACTTGAAAACAAGAGAAATCTCAATGTATCTTTCCTGGTAAAATTACATAGTTACATAGCTGAAAAGAGACTTGCGTCCATCAAGTTCAGCCTTCCTCAGAAATGTTGTTGCTGTTGATTTTGATATCAATAAATAAATAAAAATAGTATTTTAGTGGGGTGCACTTCATATCTGAGAGTCAAATAGAAGCGTCTAACATTCTAGTTACCACTGCCAGCTGCTAATCTGCTGCTTATATTGGAGTTTTAAAAAGTCAATTTTTTTTGGGTGCTAAATAGTATATTTGGGGTGTGCACTTCATATCTGAGAGTCAAATAGAAGCATCAAATAGTGTGCTTACTGCGCAGTTGTAAACATCCTAATTGTTTTGCTGCTAATCTGCTAAATAGTACATTTTGTGGCCTGCTCTTCGTATCTGAGAGCCAAATCGAAGTGTCTAATAGTGTGCTTACAGCGCAGTTGTTAAAATTCAAATTTTCTGGGTGCTAATCTGCTAAATAGTACATTTGTGGCCTGCGGTGCACTTCATATATGAGAGTCAAATAGAAGTGTCAAATAGTGCGCTTACTGCGCAGTTGTAAACATTCTTATTGTTTTGCTGCTAATCTGCTGCTTACATTGGAGTTTTAAAAAGTCAATTTTGTTTTTTGTTGGTGCTAAATAGTATATTTGGGGTGTTCACTTCATATCTGAGAGTCAAATTGAAGCGTAACTTTGATTTGAATTTACTACATTGGTCACTTCTAAGATTTTTTTCACACCTACAAGACTTGTTACACAGATCTAAGTGATAGAAAACAGATGGATATTTTCTACACTAGAAACTACCAGATAACAAGCTGCTATATTTAAACCAGTTATCAATAGCTAAGAGGTACTTAAACAATATTGTAATTCTGGAGCAATACCCTCACAAGTCAAACTGAGAGGTCAGTTTATAGGGAAAACTGTTGCCTGGATACAATTCTAAAACAATTTCCATATGTCCTTTGCAGACTTTACATGCTGGAAAAACACAGGTGCCAACTGCTGTGGCTTTCTGCAGTGTGCATACCGGCAAGGAGGGCAGGGTTGAGGAGTGGGTGGAAGATGATGTGGAGGATGATGAGGTCCTAGACCCCACATGGAATCAAGGTCATGCGAGTGACGTGTACAGTTTGGAGGAAGAGGCGCTGGTTGCACAGAGGCACCAGCACAGCATAAGAGGGAGCAGGGTGCAAAAGCGGAGTGGCCGTCCCCTTGCGCTCGTCGGCATGTATTAGCTCAAGAATTACCAGTTATCCAAGTAATACATGTAGCGATCAAAGGATCCATAATAGAGTTGAGCGAACCCGAACTGCAAAGTTCGTACCATATTTAACGATCCATTCGTAGTTTCACAGTCGGACGACCGGGACCCAGTTTGCCTAATGTTCAAGTTTGTTGACGTTAGGAATCACAAGGTGGAATGGATTAGCAGGGTCTGGTAAAGGGTAACCGCATGCCCCCTGGTGTTGAGCACCAGCGTTTGTGCGGCCAAATACCAGGATCCTGATGCAGCTTCAGTAAAAAGAGTACTGGATACCAGAAGCCATCACCAGACTGATCCGCAACTTGGAACAGGATGTGACATTCACTGTAGCAGCTGTGCGCGCTTTTGGCGTTCTCACCCTGCTGGTGCTCGCCTGTCTGTGCTGCAGCATAACTTCAATCCCGCTCACTGCCTCATGAGACTGTGCGAGCAGCAGCAGGTGATAGTGGAGTTTCAGCTGCAGCACGCACGGGTCAGTGGCTCTGCACCAGACTTCCCTCCTATTGATCAGAGTTAAAGGATTTCAAGTGGACTCATTACAATTACAGGACCTCTAAAGAGTCCTGTATTGTTAGTCCACGTCGGGAGTGGGTCATTTGCGTGCCTGCTGCCTTCATTGCATGTGGTAGCCGTTTGTCAGGGTCCCTGTACGGAATGTAACCTTGATTCCCCGTTACCCGTGGTCACCATGGTAGGCGCAGAAACTGGCATTGAAAGTTGATATGGATGACATCCAAAAGCAAAGTCGCCGTCACGGGGATGTTCGATTACCCCAAGGTTCTCTAGAGTCAACAAAGTGCCTGCGCAACTATAATGTCAACAGCTACTCTGCGGAACAGAGTTGTCTTTTTTTTATATGTCTCAATATTTTGGGGGCTACCCCAATTAAAAAAATAAAAAAAATAATATATATATCTATATATATATAAAAACAGTGTTGGTTACCTCATCCTCCTCCTCCACCGCTGCTTCCACCTACACCGCCACGGTCACCGCCAGCTCAAACTATGGGTCACTTAGTATAAACTATGTACACAATAGCAGATGCTTGTGAAGGCCTTTTCTCAATGCATCAGGAGTTGAGCATTTCTCCATGCATCAGGACTGCAAGAAATGCACCGCAGGCCACAAATGTTACTTTTTTTGTACGCCCCAATATTTTATGGGCTACCACAATAAAAAAATTAAAAACATAAAAAACAGTGTTGGATACCTAATCCTCCTCCTCCACCGCTGCTTTCATCTACACCACCACAGTCACCGTCTCCTCAACCTATGGGTCACTTAGTATAAACAATGTACACATTAGCAGAGGCTTGTGAAGGCCTTTTCTCCATGCATCAGGAGATGAGCATTTCTCCATGCATCAGGACTGCAAGAAATGCACCACAGGCTGCAAATGTTTCTTTTTTTGTATGTCCCAATATTTTGTGGGATACCACAATAAAAAAAAAAAAAAACATAAAATACAATGTTGGCTACCTCATCCACCACCGCTTCCACCTACACCACCACAGTCACCGTCTCCTCAACCTATGGGTCACTTAGTATAAACTATGTACACATTAGCAGAGGCTTGTGAAGGCCTTTTCTCCATGCATCAGGAGTTGAGCTCAGTTTGAACAATGAAAGAGAATACCCTGCACTCCAACCCTCTCTCAAATGGATAATTATGTTGATCCTCCTAAAAGCCATGCTTTAGATTTTGATTTATGTTCTTCCAAAGCTAAAATCAAAGATTCCATCTAGTGCTATTTTATGGCTCAGCTGTATTTTAAATTTTTATGTTCTTTTAAGTGATTTCCCTATCCATATTTGTTTGCAGAGCACTTGTCCTACTCTTACCCCCATTTTACTTCCTTTTGCAGCTCTCTAGCCCTTCCCAGGAGTTTTTTAGAGGCATTTTTGTGCCCAAAAGTTCGGGTCCCCATTGACTTCAATAGGATTCGGGGTCAAGTTCGAGCACGAACCCGGACTTTTTTCAAAGTTCGGCTGAAACCGCCGGACCTGAACATCCACATGTCCGCTCAACTCTAATAAAGACTAATCAGAGATGAGCCGAGGTCAGGGTAATGGAGAGACTGTGAAAACGGGAACTAGCCAGAGTCAGGTACACCGTAATCAGTCAGACAGGCAAACAAGACGAAAAGGGTTAAATATAAACTCAGAGTCCGATACAAAGCAAAGGTAATTACTAGAATAAATACAATAGATAAATCTGACTGCCATTCTGGGGTCAAGGAGGATTTTTTTCCCTAGTTTGTTGCAAAATTGGAAGTGCTTCAAACTGTTTTTTTTTGCCTTATTTTGGATCAACAGCAAAAAACAAATGTGAGGAAGGCTGAACTTGATGGACGCAAGTCTCTTTTCAGCTATGTAACTATGAACACACTAAAGGGTACTGAAAAAGAAACCACGATAGGGCTATGAAAGTTTAAATATCCTTAACTAATATTTGATTGGCCCACATCATGCCTAATCCCCCAAAACCTGTGTGTGTGGCGGTGCCGGAATGACGTGGGCCAATGGGAGCCTGAATCTACTTTCGGTTCCCTCTGCCCGTTTAAGCGCGCGCTCGTGATGCGAGCCACGCTCCTAGTGCCAGGCGGGCCACGTGACTGCTCAATGCGGTCAGTGCATGCGGCCAGCTCAGAAGGGGAGATTGAGCCGCACGCAGCTCGTGTGGAAGCAGGAGTGCTCGAGATCCCCTGCTGGACCCTGGATAAGTTAAGTACTGAATGATTGGGATAAAAATCTATGGGAAAGGCTTGAAATGACTCATGATCCAAAGCATACCACACCATCTGTTAAACACATGGCTTCCAATGGCACTGGTTCATTAGTGTTTATTGATATGTGACAGAAGACAGAAGCAGCTGGATTAATTAACGTGAATAGGGATATATTGTCAGTTCAGATTCAGCCAAATTCAACAAATTTCATTGAACTACACTTCAGATAGGCAATGAGCAAAAGCAACCGAGGGATTTCCTTAAGGCAAGTGGAATATTCTTCGATGGTAGAGTCACCTGAACCAAACTGAGCATGCATTTCACTTGCTGAACACAAAATCCTCCAGGTTACAAGGAGTCATTGCCTGCAAAGGATTCTTGACAAAGTATAAAACATTTAAATTTTATTTATGATTGTGTTCATTTGTCCAATTACATTTGAGCCAATGAAATAAGGGGACTGTGCATGAAAATGGTTGCAATTCCTAAACAATTCCTTCCATTCTTTTTACACAAGCAAAACATGTGAGCCACCTAAAAAAACAATACATGCAACACGTATAAATTAGTGGAGCACTAAAATAGGGTAATCTTAACCTTCTCTTAAAACAATAGTGTATGGGAAGTCAAATGGGCAGCATATACAATTCATTGAAATAAAAAGACAATATATAGTGCAGATAATAAAATGCAGTGAAATCCAATATTTTCATTCAACTACTTGAATAAAAGTTTAAAGTCTGCACTTCAATTGCAATTTGTTTTTTAATTTTCAAATCCATTGTACAGAGCCAAAATTATGAAAACTGTGTCAGTGTCCAAATACTTTTGGATCTAACTGTATTTAATTAAATAATTTTTTTCACAAATGTGTTTTTGGGCAAACTATAAGTTCATCCATGGTGACTTAAAACTATTTAAATGGGGGGCAGAGCCTGACCGCCATGCCAAATGGTCGCACTTCGTGAGAGCTCCGGGCTAAAATACTAATTCAACCGCATTGACGGCAAACGCCCCAAATCTTAATAGTTTACCAGGCCTGGAGACGGGGGTCCACATCTGCGGCAACAAGCATCAGGTCCCACGACTGAAATCGGTGGACATAGCCCGGGGTCAGACCTGAGGCCTACAGGAGGCCTACTCAGATGGCGCAGGGGAGGCGGCTGATCCCTCCGCTGACTGGAGCCCACTAGCCTGCAGGTCCCCTGACACACTCTCCCCCCACCCACCCTGCTGATGAGGGATATCCTGGCTACTAAATCTTGTGACCCATCAGCATAGCGCCAACAGTGACATACTGGCACTGCCAGACATGGCGAACGCCACGTGTGAGCTGCGGCCCGCCTCTCCACTACCCCCGCTGGAGGAAAGACTTGATCGTCTGTTCATTGCCTTCTGAGCCAAACTTAAACTCAGCGGGGGCACAGATGAAGAGGCTCCACCGACGGTAACCTCACAAGTGCCAACACATCAGCACGCAGCTCTGGAACAGGGCAACGGCGCGACTTGGAAGGTGGGAAGGAGAAGGCGAGCACCCCGAGAAAAGCCTAAATGCCACAAGCCCAGACCAAAGAGGTGCCATACTATGCTCAAGCGGGACCACCCCATCAAAGCTTCACCCCCCACCCGGGGGACCGCCACTCTACGCATGAAGAAGCAACATACCGGTGGACCCCGAGCTCCGGCTGCAACACGCAGAGAAACAGGCGGCTCAGGTACGTGGGAGTACGCTGAGAGCTGGGGCAGACGGGGAGACCAAACAAGACCCTCCTGCCGCAGACATCGAGCCGACGTCCGTCTCCAGAACGAGACTCCCACAAACCACAGAGATCAGATGCCAAGCCAAGGGATAGGGTGAACCTCCAACAATGTACTACCTGTGGGGCGCATTTCAGGTGTTGCCTCACATTTATCCCAGTGACTGATGTGTATTAACCCTTGCCTGGACTGTTAACGCTGCGCTGCCGATTCAGTTAAATACCAGTGTAGTCCTGATGGTACCTAGTAGCTCTGGTGTAAATCTTTGATGTCATTAACTTGTCACAACACTGTATGTGCGACCTATACCACAACTGTCAAGCTGTTAACCCTGACTGATAGGCACTATGCTACCCTAGCCTACACTAATCCACTATGAGCACACACAGGGCATATCCCTATCATTACTAGAGCTAAGCTAAATGTACTGACCAACATGCACTACACTAACCATGATCATATAAATTGCAGAGCATGTCCTATTAATATGTTAGTGTGTTAGTTACTCAGTGTCCGACTATAACACATAGCTTCATCAATCCTCATGTGTTTTCAGCTACTGAGACATTGTGAATCAACCTGTATTTTACTTTAAAAATGTGCACAGTATTTCTTATGCCGCCTTGCAATCTATTGACGAATGGTCTCATATCGCTATTGTGGCGTGGCAGACCAAATTGTTAATTCATGCATGAAAAAAATAAATAATAAAAAATGTAAAAAAAGTATTTAAATGGCTATATGCCACTTTGACTTCTGCACACAGGTCATATGTGAGTCTGGGGCAACTAACTGTGGTCTCGGCTGACAGAGGGGGCCCTCGGGTATCTAACAATTACTGGGGCTCCCTGATTTTAGCAAGTGGCGAGCTGGAGGAAGGCCCAGAATCACAGCAGCTAAGGATGTGAAGGGCTATCTGCAAGCAATGTTCACTTTGAGTCAGGGCCAGGAAATTTCCCAGCGGGCAGCATGGCGCAATTACAGAGTAACTGGCAGTCACAGAATATAGTGTGGCCGAGCAGGTAGACCGTGTGTAGAAGAGCTTCTGTTCCCCTACCCTGACAGGAAGTGCTCATAGTACCTGTCAGACCGGGTACAGTGAGCAGGTGCTCCTCCACCGCGGTCTGCCTGCTCGGCCACGCTACAGTAAGGTACAGGGAGAGCTGGGGGGGGATTAATGGGACACATGGGGGTTGGGGGTGAACTAATGGGAGACATGGGGGCTGGGGGGAACTAATGGGACAATCACAGAAGGGCTGGGAGGGGATATAGGAACACATGAAGGTCTGGGAGGGGGTGTAGGAATGCATGGAGGGCTGGGAGGGGCTATAGGGACCTTTGGAGGGACTGAGGGAAATAATAAGGCACATGTAGGTCTGGGAGGGGTAATGAGACAAATAGAGGGCTGGGGGGAATGGATGGAGACACATAGAGGGCTGGGGGGATGGATTGATAAACATGAGGGAATGGGGGGCTATTGAGACACATTT